AAGTAATCATAATACCTCGTCTCAGATATATACAAATCTCCTGAAGTAGGCCGGAGCGTACAACGGCCGAAACGTTATGGATATGGCAATAAAAATGAGGATAACAGTCCGAATAACGTTAATAATGCAAGTAATCCTAATACTTCATCTCAGAGATATAGACAGATATTGAAAAAATTTGCATTCACCTGAAGAAGGCCGGAGCGTACAACGGCCGAAACGTTGTGAATGTGACAATGAAGGTGGGGATAACAGTCCGAATAATGCAAGCAATGTAAGTAATCCTCATACCTCATCTCAGAGATATAGATAAATATTAAAGAAAATTCCAATCACCTGAAGAATGCAGGAGCGTACAACGGCCGAAACGTTGTAAATACGGGAATGAAGATGAGGATAACAGTCCGAATAATGTAAATAATGCAAGATGAAAAAGAAAATAGAAAGCAAGAAAAAGAATAATAGCAGCAAAGATTAACAGAAATGTGATTATATGAATGAAATGTGATTATATGAATGAAATGTGATTAAATGAATGAAATGTGATTAAATGAATGAAATGTGATTATATGAATGGAAATGTTATAAAACAACGATGTAAGTGGAGAATAAATGAAAGAAAAAAGATATATTGAATCAAAATAGGAGACAAATAAAAAAAATGAAAAGAAATTTATATTGAACTAATTAAAGAATTGATGAGGGAAGGCAGACATATTGAATGAATGAAATACCAGTGACAGAAAGAAAGTCATATTCAGTATATGAAACAGAAAAAAAAAACAATGTAAAAGCTAAAAAGAAAGAAAAATAGAAATGAATAGGATCAAATGAATGAAATATCAGGAAGTTATGACGGAAGTTAAAAGAAGGAAATATGAATGAAGAATCAATGTGAGAAAGAAGAATAAAATTAAAAGAAAAATGAAAGAAATATGAAAAGAAAGAAAAAAATGGAAGGCCAGATGAAAAGAAAAAATACGAAAAGCAATACAGATATGAAGGCAGACAACCGAAAACAAACGTAAGAAAGAAAAAAAAAGAAGTTGAATGGGAAAAACAAAAGCCGAAAGAAAGAATGAGAAAATGACAGAAGGAGGGCTATAAAATAAGCAAAAGACGAGAAAAAGCGTTAAATGTCGACCAAAATGAAGGAAACCAGCCCTCACTCGCAAGATGAAAGATTAACAGAGTGGCAGATATGAAGTATAAACCCCACTAAAGGAAAAGGATTGTAAAAATGATTCAAGATGAAATCAAGACATCGGAGAAGAACGGACGATTCGTCTAGACGAAAATTATATCTAGGTAATTTCCGGTTGCATTTTGAAGGGAGAATATTAACATGATTTAGAAACATATTTGGCCTGGCGCTTCGTGGAAACTATTATTGGATCAGAGATGACCATCTTCCAGTAAAATCAAACAATTACCCCCAGGTGAATTTTCGACTTTGGTACACAAGCCCACACGAGTATTCATGGCTTAGGTCCCAGAGAAAAACGAAGAAGAAAATGGGATGTTGAAAGAACAAGAAAGAAAAATAGGTTTTCAAATTACAAAATTTAAGTCCCCTTGTAAATTTGAATGATCTATAAAGCTTTCAAGGCATTTTAAACAAGGCTCTCTCTCCCCTCTCTCCCCCTCTCTCCCACTCTCTCTGTCTTTTTTACCTTATCTCTCTCTTTTCTCTCTCTCTGTCTACATATATATATATATATATATATACATATATATATATATATATATATATATATATATATATATATATATATATTTGATTTTTATAGGTCTGATGAATTGGATGGTGATTACGATTCCAATATAAATAAATTATACCCATGGAATATTTTGTTTGAATAGCAAAATATATATATATATATATATATATATATATATATATATATATATATATATATAATTTATTCGAAATTATAACATAAATATTTATTAAATCACTACAAAATAGCCATTTTGTTTCAACACTTCTCTTATCAAATGATGGTGATGAAACAAAATGCCTAAATTTTTAGTTAATTAACATGTTATGTTATAATTTTTAATAAAATAATTATATTGCTCTATCTGTATTAAATACTCTTTTAAGATATAGTATTTATTAGTTATTGAATTTATTCCAATATACAAATCCATACTTATGCTATATATATATATATATATATATATTATATATATATATATATATACACACCCACATATATATATATATATATATATATATATATATATATATATATATATATATGTATGTATGTATGTATGTATGTAAAAGGTAATAAATCCGTTGGTATATAATCAAAAGTGGATCCTAATAATATAAAATATTAAAACTGACAAAGCCACCTCAATGAATTTATTATTACAGAGCAGAAAAAACGGTTCATTGTTGGAATATATATATATATATATATATATATATATAATATAATCATATCTATTGTTTTTTTCTGTAAAAGCCCATCTATACATATTCTGTCAATAAATCTAAACTAAATTTGGTTTACATGTGAATTAATGCTTGTGTATTTATATATTCTCACTGAGAAGACAACAATAGATCGAAATGTTGAAATTTTTAAACACTCTCTTTGTTTGCAAAAATAAATTACATATATATATTTGCATAAACTTGAAAAAACAGCAGACGAATTCTCGTTCTTTATAATAGAAGTACGTACTTTGTAGACTCCCCTTAGTAAAACACGGGATCAAATATGGAGAAGCCATATTCGATACATCGTAATACACATATCTTTCAGTTAATGCTGGAAAAACAGGTTTTTTTTCAGCCTTTCTTATCCTATGCTCTCTCATCACAAGTGCCAGATCAAACCAAACTTCGAGTACTTCTTCCATATAGCGATCAAAAACGTTTGCATGGCCTTGTGGGTGATGAATTATTTCCTCGTCTACAACCTCTTTCCCACAGACAATACGGCGTAAGTATCTCGCTACTCCGTCGCTTTTTCCATAACAAATAGTCTGAGGGGCAATATTTCTTTGTTTCACCAGTTCAGGCCTTCACATTTAGGGCCATCTATACATTCTGACGAGTCATCCCCATTCCCTTTGTATTACTTAGTAACAAAGAAGCACCGCTCGAACGAATTCTTCACAAGAACCATGGTCAGACAACAGAGAAGTTGCTTTCTCAATCACTAAAATGTTAACTTCTTCAAATTAAAAAAATCGTAATCTTTGTTTTTATAAACATAATCTGCGTGTTTCATCTCTCTTAAATCAACAACCTAACTCCCTAACACTCCATATTTAGTAGCTTTGGCTTTGTAATTGTTGAACAATTCGTTAAAAAATATAAATAGATTTAAAACAAAATAAATTTAAGAAATTAGATTTACATTTAAATTATTTAAAAGATATCGGAAAAGACTTATAAGTATCGTGCAGCATTAACCAGATATTCCCGACCAATGTTATTTAATCTACATTAAATCAAACAATTTACTTCCGTAGATTACATAAAATGTTGTTTTCGAGTTTCCCTGAAAGGTTGCCCGAATCGACAAGCATCTGATGAAGGCTAGAGGAAAAAAAAACACCGAAACATTGAGATAATAACAACAAGTATTAGGAGAATATTCATTATACAAATAATGTTTAGTATGTTTGATTTTAAAACTATAATCTGATTTGATGGTCGTGAAAAATAAAAAAACTTTCTCGAGAAGATCGGATTGAAGTTATACGACATTGTTAACTCTTTTTTTAGGTACCTCGTTTTTCCGAAAATGAATACCCACCCACCACAACTGAGCTACAACTGCGCCACGTCCTGTGATACACACTGCCACTGAGGGATGGATCAAAAGAAACTCGTTGCCAAATGGCGTTTAAAATACATTCAACATTTGGAGGTAAGAAAACATCCCATGTGACTAACGCAGAGTTAAGTATTTTTTTTTAATCTCTTTATTGAAATATTTAAATGTTGAAAAAGTTTATTTATCCGAACAGATTAGGATAATAATCCGTAAATAAATTATACAAGTAATGATGACTCCACATATAAACAAATTCAGACAAAAAAATACCGGCGAATGTTAATATTCGTATTAAACAGTGAATAAAACCTCACTATTTCTATATCCCTGCTTGTACCGAAGAATCTATATATATAAAGTTGTTGCCTCTGTCTGTCTGTTATCGAATTCCTCTTAGGGTTTTGGAGATACACCCCCATAACCATATATATTCTGAAACTACATTACCCATGGTACTTGGATAAGTATATTTCATTTTGATCAAAACAGTCCCACAAAGGGGAGCAGAATACCCATAACCGTCAACATTATTGTTTTTTTTAGAGAGTTGGTAAAAATTAAATATAAATTTGAACAAGGGAATAACTCCTATGTTATTTGGATAAGTATATTTCATTTTGATCAAAGGCGGTCCCCGGAGTGCACAATCCCCCCTCCCACTGAATTTTTTCCCTTTGATTTAAATTAAATTTTAATTTGAACAAGGGAATGACTCCTATCCAAAATACAGAAGGAGAAAGCCAGAAGATGGATGTCACATCGGCAAGATCAAAATAAGACAATATGGAAACTTAGTTCAGCTAGAAATCACCAATCAGTAGGTAGTGCCTTACAATACATATTTGTTGCGACAATTCAACTGTCATAAATGTTGAAAATTGCTCATCAATTCATTCAATCAAGTATTGCATCAAATATATATCAAAACGGTCAGATCAAGCTTTTTTGCGCAACCCCCACCCACTGGATCTTTTCACATTGATGACCTCTATCCAAAATATAGGAGGAGAAAACCTGAAGATTGAGGTCCCTTCATCAAGATCTTTGAGTAATATTGAAATGCATCATTTTTCTCCACAAATTATAACAATGATTTAATATCAATCATCATTTTCATAGAAAAAAATATGTGACATGCAGCAAGGCGCGGGTAATTCGGCTAGTATACATATATGCCCTACTCGAGTTCTTCCAGCCATGAATATCACTCGATATCTATTAGTCCTGTTCACGGAACTATCCTCACCGTTAACAGCCAATGTTAACGCTTTATCAGTTTTCAATCTAGACATTATCAAGTGAAGCTATTTTCTCCAACGAAGGCGTTGACATGAGACGAATAAACTTTTTTATAGGCCGAAAATTTATTTGTTTGAAATGGCCTTTCTCTTGTAAAGGGGAATTGGTCGAATGCGTACTTGAATCTATACATACACATATACAAAGACACTCATATAGATAAATACATTCAATGGTGAAATTATTCGTACACCCACCAATTTTGAATATTTTATCCATTTCGTAAAATCTAATGCTAGTATGATGTTAGGGTTTTTTATATGTTAATAAGCAGAAAAAAGGAATATAAAAGTCAATTTTCAAAACAGTAGGTTAAATGCAACAAATTTAACAGGTGAATTATGCAAAATAGGAAAAGACAAAATTATTCCGATGGTAGAAAATATCGTTTTAAATTGATTGATTCGTGTAAGTATAAGTAATTTACATAATTATTTAATCGGTGAAGCCTTCTAGACTACTTATTCAGTAGAATATGTTTGACAATTCCAGCAAAGAACATCACGTTTTGCACAGAGTGTCACCATTTTTATTCTTACCTAAACAACACGATGGGGAAGACAAAGGAGATTAGCGTTGACTTGAAACAGAATTATTAACTTCCTCAAATTGGCAGTTATAGCACTATCGCAAACCGGTTAGCTATCCCTAGATCTATGATACAGTCCGTTGTAAAGAAGTTTAAACAGTTTGGAACGACAGAGAATTTGCCTGGGCATTGAAGAAAACCCAAATTGTCATCGGAACTGCACAAAAACTGTGTCGAAAGGTTTATATATACCAAACATTTGTTTTGGAAGACATCACCAAAATAACGTCGTTTAAATAGAAATGGGTTGTATGGAAACTGACCATGACGAACCCCTCTTTAGGGACCATGTCACATTGTTGCTCGGTTTAATTTTGCCAAAGTGTTCTTGAACAAAGATAATTACTTTTGGGAACAAGTACTATGGAGTGATAAAACTAAATTTGAGCTTTTTGGACATAATCATGTTCAGAACATTTGGTACAAGAAAGGTGAGGCTTTCCTCCCAAAGAATACAGGAACAACATTAAAACATGGAGGCGACTCGATGATGTTTTGGGGTTGTTTTAGCTCAAAGCGGGGCGAGACAATAAATTGCAGTAAGAGAAATAATGAAATCCGCAGACGATATAAAAATTCTGCATGAAAATCTACAAATATCAACGCAAAATCTTCATCTACGTTGGCGATTTACTTTCCAGCAAAATAATGATCCCAAACATACATCTAAATAAGTGACTGCATGGCTTCGAAAAAATAAGATTAGTTCTGTCATGGCCGTCAATGAGTCCTAACTTGAATCCTATTGAAAATCTATGGAAAGAATTGAAAGTTCGAATAAATCTTCGGTCACCAAAAAAATTTAAGGAGTTAGAACGTTTGACCATTGAAAGTGTTAGACATTTTCATGACGGTCGTCTTCGAGTATAGAATCCAGAGGTTGGCAGTGAATATTTCGGAGACAGTAGGAAAGCGTAATGAAGGTTCGCAGTGGATATCGCAGCAAAGTAGCAGAGCGTAGTTCTTCCGTCTGTCATGTTCGCCGGACAAGTTGCCTCTGGTCATTCAGGTAGGAAAACAAAGATGGCCGCCTTTATACACGACGGATACAGTGTTGTGCGGCTTCTGATTGGTCCACCTTCTATTGGTCGACTATAAAGGGAATTAAGCCATTTTGACTCGCTCACTAGTTATATATATGATATACACAAAAAACCGTAACAGAAAGAACGTCACAGAAAAAGAATTGTTAAAATCTCATCAAAAACCTTATAAAAAAGATTGCAGCAAGTGACAAAGATGACAGGCCATGCTATTGACTATTAATACTGTGAAAATTGTTCAATTTTTTCTATTTTTCATATTGCACGAATAATTTTGTCTTTTCCTATTTTGCATAATTCGTCTGTCGAATTTATTGTATTTAACCTGTTGTTCTGAAAATTGAGTTTTATATCCCTTTTTCGTGCTTATTAACATATAAAAAACCTGGCATCATTCGGGCATTAGATTCTGAGAAATGAATAAATGGAATTCCAGTTAGATATATTTAATCATTTCTAAGTTAAAACGGTTGAAAGATTAATCGAACAATTGGACAATTTTGCTGTTACACGCTTTGCTATTACATCTGGTATATTGGACCGGAATAATAGCAAAGTCGTGTAGCAGCAAAATTGTCCAATTGTTAGATTAAGCCTCGAACCGTTGTATCTTAAAAATGATTAAATATACCTTAGTGGAATTCTCCGAGGTTTTTATAACTTTATTGGACACTACTTTGAACAATAAGAATGTATCTAGATCTAAGTTAAAATAATGACTCTTCTTGCTGTTGTGACTTCCTGATCCAGTTTTTACTTGGACTGTTCCCTCTTTTTAAAACTTATTCACCGTTCTCTTGATGGTTCTTGAAAAGACTTTGAAGATAGAAGCTAGAGTATGAATGTTGGTACCATTACTGAAGGCCCGAATGACCTTTTTTTTTCTCTAACCATTTCTCATTTGAGAAGACATAGTGTCGTTGACAAAAACGATTTTAACCTGTTCTATTTCGAGTTGAATATCTCATCTTTATTTCTTTTTTTTTTTTTTCGTTTTTCTGTGATTCTTACGACGGATGATGTGAAAATGGCTAAAGGGTTTATATGAAATCCTGGGAAAAAGAAATTCACTTAGTTTAGTGATCTTTTAAATATTAAAAGTTTTGTAGGGTGGACAATTATCTCATCCTGTTACACGATTTGGACAATTTTGCTTTTACACCTAGTATATATATATATATATATATATATATATATATATATATATATATATATGTGTGTGTGTGTGTGTGTGTGTGTGTGTGTGTGTGTGTGTGTGTGTGTGTTCGTTCGTGTGTGTGTGTAGCAAATATATGGATATAGATCCGACAGTATGAAGAAAAATATACGGAAAAAACAAAGAAAAATCCTAATATTCAATTATACTGTTTTAATGTCAATATGCCAACGTCGGACGTTTCGGTCTAGTAGACCATCTTCAGGACATATTCATAAAACATAATTAACATTAGACTATATTTAATTCAACATGAAAAGACGATGGACATAAGAGTAAGACTAATCAAAACAGACAACTGAAATTTTTCAAGATCAGCGTTCCGTTTCAATAAGATCACGTCGGCGTCACGTGCGCGATGTTGTGAAAACGTATTCCTAAAATATAGTATTTTGAATGAAAAATGAAAAGAATTTTATTTTAATCTAAAACTTATATGTACGTTTGTCGAACATTAATCTTGCTAGAAAAGGGGAAATATTAAATTATGAGGCAGGCATAATATCTATCTCACGAACGGTGAATACTAGACCTGGCTTCTTTAATATATATATACATCCACTCTCGTCATATGGTTGAAAAAATTAGGAAGACGTTTCCTCCATAAATATACCAAGTTTAAGATACAAAGTTACACACACACATATACATACATACATACATACATACATACATACATACATACATACACAAATAATTCAGGCTATATGATGACTTGAACATTGTTTTTAAGCCTGAAACAGACAGTCACCTTTCAGTGTTAAGTTCTGCGTCCAATCAGATTAGTTTTTGACGTGGAGTTGTTGTTCAATATTTTTCTTTCTCTCTCTCTTCTTAAACGTATGTGTGTGTGCGTCTCTCTCTCTCTCTCTCTCTCTCTCTCTCTCTCTCTCTCTCTCTCTCTGTGTGTGTGTATATGCTTATGCTTGTGTATGTATACATGTACATATGTAAACATATATAGTGTTGTGGCCTGTTTAGGGGCCAGAAAAAAAAGACACGGAAGATGAAGGTAGGTTGAAAAAGTATATTGAAGGTATATACAAAACAATAGTGTTATTAATAAGTAGATTAGCACTGTGTCTACTACTCCACTCCACTCTACCCGACTCTCGCAGTTTGTATTTATGAGAGGAGGAAGAGTTCATTATACTGTGAGAGGGCTTACCACAACATATACCTACGCATGTGTATGCATAATTCGGGTAAAAATGATAATATATATTAGAAATTGTAAATATTTGGCAGAACAGGGATTAGGAGAGAAAACAAAAAGACAATGTTTACTATGAACTACAAAGGGAAGGAAATTATGGGAGAGGTATGATGGCCCATGTCCTGAAGGAACACGGCACATTTAAGATGTCTGTCTGTGCATATGCTTTTGTATGTCTGTGTGTATGGAGAAAGTGCGACTTGTCTATATTCTTCTTCTTCTTCTTTTTCCTCCTCTTTTTCTTCTTCCTCTTCTCCTTCTTCTTTTTTCTTTTTCTTCGTCTACTTCTTTGGCTTTTTCTTCTTCTTTGTCTTCTTGTTGTTCTTCTTCTTTTTCTTCTTCTTCTTTCTGCTGTTTCTTCTTTCTTTTTCCTCTTTTTCTTCTTCTTTTTCTACTTCTTCTTCCTCTTTTTCTTCTTCTTTTTCTTCTTTTTCTTCCTCTTTTTCTTCTTTTTCTTCCTCTTCTTCGTCTTCTTCTTTGTCTTTTTCTTCTTCTTTTTCTTGTTGTTGTTCTTCTTTTTCTTCTTTTTCTTCCTCTTTTTCTTCTTTTTCTTCCTCTTCTTCGTCTTCTTCTTTGTCTTTTTCTTCTTCTTTTTCTTGTTGTTGTTCTTCTTTTTTTTCTTCTTCTTCCTCTTTTTCTTCTTTCTTTTTCTTCTTTCTTCTTCCTCTTTTTCTCCATCTTTTTCTTCTTTTTCTTCCTCTTTTTCTTCTTTTTCTTCTTCTTCTTCTATGTGCTACGTCTCTCAAAGAAGTTGTCGATTCTGACTCTCCAGAACTTCCTGTCCTTTGTAGCTCTTAGTAAATCTTGTTCTGCCAACCATTTATACAAACTCATTAGGTAGGTTATACCCTGTACCACTTGTCACGTGACTCAAAAAAATTTCAGCCATCTCTTTCTGTTGCTAGTATAAGCAAAATTTCCTCGTTGCTCAGTCCACAGTATTCTTAATATCCTTCTGTAGAACCATATTTCTGTTGTGTAAAGTCTCTTCTTCATTTTTGAGGCGGTTGTCCAGCATTCACTGCCACATAGAAGGACTCATATTGCATAACTCATTTCTTTTTTTCTAATGAATATTTTCTGTTTCTTAATAATTTGCTTAACTTTTCGAAGGCACCTTCGCTATTCAAATGCGTTTTTGCCTTTCAGCGTCTTCCTTTCCATCCTCTGTTTATAAGCTTCCCAGATATTTAATTGTTTTTACTTGCTTTATTTCGGTATCTGCAATTTCCAATTTACATGTTGGGCTGTTCCTTTTTCTAACAACCATGTATTCTGTCTTCTTGTAATAGGTGCTTATTCCTTTCTTTTTGCTTTCTTTTACTCCCTAATGTAGAAGTTATTGTAGATTCTTTTCAGTATCTATCAATAGAGTGTCATCTGCAATTTGTTGACTTATTTTTTTTATATAAATGTATCGTCTTTTGAACCAAATAGTATGCCATCTTGAATAGTCGTGCCTATGGGCCACTTTCATCTAGGTAAGCCTACCGGTTCAAATAAACGTTCCGTCTGGATTTTTCTAAAAGTTTAATTATTGTAGAATAAAACAGTGGGAGAATATTATTTGACAAAAAAAAATAAGATCGATATGCGCTGGGATGGCGGTTGAAAGTAATTATTTAATCGTACCAGCACTTTTATTTAGTGCCAAATGAATAAGCGTTTTTAAGTCTGCCTATGTGTGTGGATAATTGGCAATATTGTAGAACAGTAGTCGCAATTTTTTTTTTTTTTTGGATTGCATCTCCGAAATGAAAATTTGCTCGCGTCTCACCAAATTTTATTTGATGAAAGTACATTTAAAAATAAAAAAAATGACAAAAAGAGATAACAGCAGATTCAAAGTCAGAACATTATTATTGATAACTCTCTCCTCCAATTTGCAAACCCTAGTTACTATATTCTTAATACTTGATATAATGCAAAAATATCACAATGATAAAACCGGTCAATAATTATTTATAACTATTTATACTGGGACTCATGCATGCAATTACAAGTAATTCATAATAAAATGTGTTATTTTCTTTTTCTCTGGGCCACAGTTTCGGAATGAATATTTGATCACGTCTCGCCAAATTTTATGCTATAAAAATTACATTCAAATTAAAAAAAACAGAGAGAGAGAGTGTGTTAAGGGGAGATAACTTTGGATTCGAAGTCATAACATTATCATTGATAACTCTCTCCTCTAATTTGCGGATCCTAGATAATATATCCTTAATACTTCATATAATACAAAAATATCGCAATGATTAATTAGGTCAGTAATTAGTTATAACTAATTATACTGGGACCCATGCATGTACTTTGAAGTAATCCGGAATATTTTAAATTTTGAAATCATATTTATTTTTGGAATATAAATTTTTTGGAACTGTTTCTAAATATTTGTTTGTCCTTCAGTCATTCGACCTCACCTGCTATCTTCGCCCGTCATATTTATGAGGCGGGCCACACCGTTTGGGAATCACTGTTGTAGAATATGAAAGCATAGTGAAAAGCCAGGAACAATAATATATCCCGTGTCGACTATGGATATGCTCATTTTGAATTGTTTTTTTGCAGTCCTAGTTCCCATGATTCTTTGTGTTTACAAACGAAATAATTCGGGTAAGCAAAAAATAAGAAAAATATACATAAAAGTGCAAGAAAAGAATTTTCGTAAGAAGTACGGAAAAAATTTGAAAAAAATGCATAAATATTTTGAAAGCTCGACAAAATGGCGCCTGTTTAATTCAACCAGACGACTGCCCTTCTCCCTTCTTTACTTATCTCTAAACTTTCTAAGTCTTTAGCTTTTATTATTTGGCCACAAGCGTTTAAATGCCATTACAAGCTTACTTTCTTTTTTGTTATTGACAATTTCTTTTTTGATGATGTTCTTGTCATGTTTTTTGGGTTCTTGCTCCTTGCTCGTTTGATTCTACGTCTACCATTTTTGGTGATTAGTTGAGGTCTGATCGATATGTCCCCCATTAATCTTATTAGACCGTTTCTCAACGTTGTCTGTGTCATCGAAAATAAGTGAGAAAGACAAAGTAAAGGAAGGAAGGAAGGAAATGAATTCATACGAGTTCAATGAAAGAAAGTAAAACAAATTTGTAAAAAGCAATCGCGTGCTGAAGAAGAAAAATAGATTGTGATTGGTTGAGGTAATTCAGCAAGAAAATTATCGTAAATTAGGCTCACGATGAAATACAAACAAATAGAGACAGATAAACTTACACATATACAGGTGTTTTATTAATATATATATATATATATATATATATATATATATATATATATATATATATATATATACATACATATATATATATATATATGTATGTATGTATGTATGTATGTATGTATTCAGCAGATCTTTTCCTGAAAAAGATGGAGGAAGCCCTCTCGCCTCCTTTCTCACAGATGCCAATGACATCGTCGTGTCTGACTTAGGATTGCCGAGTCTATATATATACGTACACACTCTCACACGTATACATGTTCGATTTCCGACCAAGAGACCCGAGTTCGAATGTCACCCTGCAAAATTTTCTAGGAAAGTTTTCTTGATATCATCAGTCTGGTGATACAGGGTGTGACACCTTTGGATATCACCTGAAAACCATATTATTTTCTCTGCCACCATCTAGCTATTGACACACCTTTCAGAGTAGTGTTACTTGCTCGACTTCACTGGCAGCGAGACTAAAAGAATAGCTCTGAATTCAAAACCCTGAAAAATGGAATGGCGCACCTCAGATTGTAAAGAAAAAGAATGAATCTGTGGAATGTTATTTTTTTTTTTTTTTTTGTTCGTTTTTTTTTTTATTTTATTTTAAAATTAAGCTGGCTCACTTCGGACTAGAATGACTCTCTTCTTGAAGGACTTTATATATTCAATAAGTAGCAGCATGGCCCGGCGTTGCCCGTGCTTGATTCAAAAATCGTACGACTCATACAGCAATCGCTATCACTTGACTTAAAATATTTTTGTCCTTCCTAGCCTTTAAAGGAGTGCCCTTTTCCATGCTGATGTTGCTACATGCCTTACTTCTTGCCTATCTCACACGGCGAATTTTTTCTAAGCTCTATGCGAAACATTAAATCGGTTACGAAAAAAGAACTAAATAAAATCAACACAAAACGATCAGCTTTAAAAAAGGACTCGTAACTGTAAAAACCGAATGAAAAAAGAATGTTAACAACAAATACTTTTTCACACCCAACCAAGTTCTGCTGAATCAGAATCAACATTGAGTTTAAGCAAGCAAATGAGCCAATTGTGAGTAAAGTGCCATGCAGATTTAAATTTTTCCCACTTATGACGAATGCAGCTATCGATTTTTTTTGCATGCTAGCATGCGTTAACATTCCTTTTAGTCAGCTGTTGGCTCTCATGCTGGCCAATAGAATCTTCCTGAATATTTGTGGCAGCCAGCTATAGGCTCTTACTCTGGCCATTAGAAAATGGCCGCAAAATACATGAAAACTGCCGTAGAAGCTTGAAAAAATCGATTATTTCAACTATCGATGGGAGTTGGGAAATGCAAAGTCGGTTTTGGCCTTCCCGCTAACTTGGTGCATGTGCATGTAAATTTTGGTGCAAATCCGTTGGAAATTGCGGCCGTGCATTCGTTACACACACACACACATCCTGCCTTTTATAGATAGAAATAATAATAATAATAATAAAAGTTTCAAATGGTTGCAGATATACAAGTAAAGCACAATACACCGACTCAAACTGCAAATTACTTAAAAAAGAAAGCAAAGGCAAATGCAACCGACCAGATACAGAAAGAATGACAAGACAAACCGTGTAACGGTCAATACCCTGTCCGTACCAAACAAGCTGATGTAGACAAACCCACCAGTCGTTACGTAGTGCAGGCGTAAAATCAGAAACGGAAAGATTTATCCTTGCTGCACATGACCAATGCTTGTTAACTAAAAATTATGAAGCGCACGTACTAAAAAATTGTGTCAGTCCCAAATACAGAATCTGTGATAAATATCCAGAACCGATTGATCATCTTGTAACAGATTGAACGGTATTGGCACCCTTTGAATATAAAGCCCGGCATTATAGAATGGTTCAATATCTAAACTGAAACTTGTATGGAAATAAAACTGAAAGAAATTGGTATGAACACCACCCAGACCCAGTTACGGAGATAGGACCTGTAACAATTTTATGGGACTACAAAATACACACAGACAGAAAGAAATAAAAGCTAATCACCCTGACATCGTTATTAGAGACCGCAAACAAAAAGAACTGCCGCCTTATTGCTATGGCAGTACCTGCAGACTGCAATGTATCTTTGAAGATCATCAAAACGCTATCAAAATACAAAGGCCTTGAAATCGAAATCTCAAAAATGTGGCACATGGGCATATCAACTATTCCTATTGCAGTTGGAGCCCTCGGATTGATTGGAAAAGATTCATTGAAGGGATTCCTAGAAGACAATGCCTTAAAGACATACAAAAATGTTCCCAAGAGTACAGCCGACACTTTACGAAGGGCTTTATCTATGTAAAATGTGTGTGTATGCGTTTTTTAATAGCTCAGTGGAAAATGTCATGATGCCATTTCTGACCTTAGGTCTCTGGGCCAGACCCGGAAAGAAATGAGTAAGCACCATACACCAAAGGAAATAATAATAATAATAATAATAATAATAACACAATTAACCCGTTAATGAATGAAGTTTTACTTTTAGCATTTTATTT